ACACAGGCTTGTGAGGCTGGTTAGGGAAGAGCAAAAGTTAAGGTGTCCCCCGCTCCAAATCCTCTAGATAAGCACCCTTAGCTAACAAGTGCATTTCCCAAGTCTCAGCTTCCCTCTCCTAGCCCTAAGCCTGAGTTAAACTAGCGCAACTCACTGGCAAGAGTCCCTGTGCACAAACCCTCCTAGCATCCACAGCATCCTGAGCTCCAAACCAGCAGTGTCGGAGCTTACCCAGTACCCCAGCATATGGGTATAGGTGTCAACTGTCCAGGACCTCTTCCATTCCCAGGTACTGACATCAGGGACCAGCACAAAAGTCCCAGGCCCTGCAGAGGTAGAAAAATCTATCAATTCCTGCCTTTGAAGTTCAAATACTTTGCTCCAACCCATGGCACGTGTACAGACAGACGGTTTCCAGAGGCTGGCCATGTTCTTGGGCACACTAAAGAGTGTGCATCCAAAACCTGGTGCACCTGCCCGTACATCAGGATGCTCCCAGCTTCTATCAGACAGTAGCATCTTTGTTTTTTGCAGGGTCTTTGCCACGTCCTTTCTCAACTTTCAAGTAAACAAGAGCATGTAAAGATCTATTGCCTCGTGTCTGGCACCTGCTGAGCTTTCTATCACATGTCATAGAGAAACATTCCTTCCTCCTATCATACGTGATTGAGAAACATTCCTTCCTCCTTGCAACTGTGAGTGCCAGCAGGAATCAAGGACAGGAGCCAGGCCAGGCTCTGACCAGCAGCACCTACAGCACAGCCTGAGCCAGCTCTTGTTGTGCTTGGTGCTGCAGGAGGCCCTGCCTGCTGCAGATTCAGAGCTGAGGTAGAGAAAGCAGTGAAGTGACAGCAGAGCAGCAGATCAGTGACCAGTGCTGATAGGCAGTGCCTGAGCAGTGGTCCCTGTGTCCTGCCCAGCCAGGCAGCTGCTTCCCTGCCTGCAAACCACGCACTTCTTACACAATGGGGACACAACCACTCTCTCCTGTAAGTCCCTTTTTGTCCATCTCTACAGTAAAATGTCTCATTGTTTCCTCCAGCTCACATTCCTTTTAGTGCAATAACACTAAAACACAGTTGTAACTACAGGCCCCAAGGTATAGAACCCTTCCCTGCCTGCTGCCTGCAGGGAGTTAATTCACAGCAGTTGAGAGCCCTTGCTGTACCAACAAAGAGATGTGTGATCTCCCGATCCCTCTGCCCCTCCCCTCCCAGCCGCTCTCTGATTTGCACCTTTCCCCAGCACAGCAGGCGGCACAGGAGCGTCTCTTCCCGCATGTGTTTGCCCCCATGCACCGAACCGTAAATCAGAGTTCACCACCCCTCTCCCCCACCCCGAGCTGCTTTTCACAGCGGCTGGGTGAGTGCTACTCACCACAAACGTCTTCTCCCCGCCTGTCAGAGTGCATCACAGTGACACGCAGAGAGGACGGGCTGTGCAAATGGAGCATGAGTTATGGGCCGTCAGCGGGGGAAGAGGGGGTGAACTCATGGAGCATTTCCTGGGATCGGGCCTCACATCCACGGCACCCCCAAAAGGAACATCTGGAGGAGACCTGATGAGGCGGATCTGCATGGATCCCCTGCCACACGCAGCTCCCTCCTAACGCTGTGTGACTGCACGGAGCGGATCCGAAGCCGGGGCAGGATGCGGCCCCGAGCCCGGCACAGCCACCAGCAGGCAGAGCCGAATCCATGACAACCAGAGCCTGCATGTGAGAAGCTCAATGCCTGCCGCTCCCTGGTGAACGCGAGCGTCCCGCCGCTCAGGGCTGCGTTCTGCAGCAAGCTTTGCCCTCGCACATCTGTGCCCAAAGGAACATCCTGCACTCCTAAAGCTCTTCTGATTTGCAAAGCTCCTAACAAGCTTTTCTGACTCCCTGTACCACAACCCCATCCCGTGCCCAATTCACCACGAGCTTTGCATTCCTCTTGTACTTCTCTGCTACGGCACATTTGTATGTCATTAATGCAGCCAGGGCTTTTACTTCACCGACACCGATTGAACTGCTGAAACGAACCCCTGGGAAAAGAGAGAGAAGAAAGGCAGAGTGCCTGCCACAAACGGCACAGAGGAGATGGAGGAGAGGCTTTGAATCTTCTGAAGCGGCAGCATCTCGTCACAATAGGCCATATTGATAGAAATCATTCGGCTGCGTTTGTTCCTCCGGACAGCGATTTCCTAACAAGCAGCCATCCTGCGGGCACAGGGCCGCTGCGGGGAGCTCTGATAGCACAGCCCAGCGCCCGCTGAGGGATGGGGCTGAGCCCCCTGGGGCTCTGAGCAGCCATACTGCTGCAGGACAGGGTTAGGGCGCGATACGCCCTCAGGGAGAGCGGGGTGCTTGGGTCAGAGGGATGTAGGGAAGGCCGCATGCTGACAGCTGCAGGGGGCTGAGGGGGAGAGCAGCAAAACCAGCACTGCTTTTGCCCTATTCCCTCCATTGCCTCAACATGGCAGCCGCGCCTGCCGAGGATTGTGCCAGAGCTAGCAGCCCTCTGATTGGCTGAGCCGTGGCAGGGTGGCCACCTGAGGGCGCTGCGTGAAGCGGCTGCGAGGCTTTCCTGATTGGATGCAGCTGGGAAAGGGGGGCGGGGTCTACGGTGGGAGGAGGGGTGTGGAGTGGTGGGGGCGTGGTGGGTGGAGCCAATCAGGGTGGGGCACCTTGGGGGCGAGGTCGGGAACGGGGGCTGCAGAGCCAGATGTGTGGGGCAGCACATGGGCAGGGAGCCACGCAGGGACGCAGTACCGGACCTCCTGCTGGTCCCGTGCAGGCACCTGCGGCTCTCTGGCCGTGCTGTGGGTCTGCCTGCGAGCCCCAGGGCCCCGGCACCGAGGGCACATCCATCAGTTCAGGCGCAGGCCAGGCGGTGTGGGCACGCTGTTGCGTTCACGTGTCTCTGCCCGTGTGCGTGGGAGGCAGGGCTGCGTCGCACAGGGAGGGGGCTGCCAAGCTACCTGCACCCGCAGCCCCCTCCCCGCAGGGAGGATGCGCTTTTCAGGCAGCTGCCTGGCTTCCTTGCGAGCCGGGAGCGCGGGAGTGTGTTGCCAAGGCAATGGGGACCATCTTACTCATCCTCCTCGCTATTGTTATCCTGCCAGCCCGGAGGTGCCCGGGTGGGGAGAGAAGGAGGAGGAGGCAGCTGGCCAGGGAGGAAGGCTGGTTGCAGGGAGGGGAGGAGATGCGTGTCCCCTCGTATCGCCATCTCATGGGGGTAGGAGATACTGATGGGTGAGGGGAGAGCAGAGTGCAGAGAAAGGGCAGGTAGGGTGTGAGCCAGCAGCCCTACGGCAAAGTCCTGGGCAGGGGAATAGAGGGATAGGGAAAGACACAGTCCCCTCCACTGCCAGGACCTGAGTCTACCCATGGTGTCTCTTGTCACTCTGTGCCCCTCTTGACCCCCTAATCCCGTGTGGCAGCGTGGGGTGTAAACTCACAGCTGCATGGGATGTAAAACCACAGCTGAACCAGGCAGGGTGCACCTCACCTTGGCCCCGCTGCAAGGAGGGAAATGGGACAGTGAGCACAGAGCTGGGATCAGCAAAGGGCACGGGGCAGAGCCCGGTGGTATGACAGCTCCTGGCCATGCAAACGTCTGGCAGCTGTGAGCGCTGCTTTTGCATCGCATGTGACGAGTGGTTGCGGTGCAACAGCCAGCACGAGGTGCTGCGTGCTCGGGGGTCCGGGAGCTGGGTCTGTGCTCTGCAGCACCGCTCGCCCACGTGTGTCACTGCTCACGCGTGTCCCACCCTGGCTTGGCGGGGTGCCTGGCGGTGGTGTAGGGGTGCCCCGGGGTTGCAAGGCTGCGCTCTTTATTTTGATATTCTTCCTCCCTATTTTTAGCATTCGGGGTTTTGTTCCAGCCTTGCTGTTTACTGGAAGGAGCATTTCTACCGCCAACCTCCCCTGTCTCCAGGCAACCAGGTGTGCCAGCTCCCACCGCGCTGGTGCCGACACTGCACCACCCTATAGATCTATAGGGCTGGGTTGGGGGGGGTTAATGTTAACTTCAAGGCAGAGGAACCCTATCTCAGGGTTAACATTAACCCTCCTAGCCCCTGACTCACAGCCCCATCTGCTGCAGGGACCTGTTGCACCACCCTCTCTCCAAAGCGGTCCCAGTGGCACCCATAGGTGCTGGGCTGGATAGGAGGTGGTCAGACTGACACATGGCTGCGGGGTGCACGGCGATGGATGTTCCTGCCTCAGTCTCCATTGCCGTGGAGGGACCACCGAGCTGGACTCATGCTGACTGGGGCTTCACATGAGGTGATGCTGCCCTCCGCCACCCCACTGCACGACGATATGTGGGGGGCTCACCACGTGAGCCCATGTGTGGGGCAGTGCCATCTGCCAGCACGACATCCCAGCGGCAGAGAGGTGCTGGCCCTGCAGGATTGTTGGGGGGCAGGCGGGGCCTCGGGGGGGGCTGTGAGCCCCGAGGCGATGCTCGCGGGCCGCCTTCCCCCCCGCAGCGCGAGCGGGAGTGCGTGGGAAGGAGTTAGACAAAGCCTGAGCCCGGGAGCAGAGGCAGCGCTGCCGGGAGGGAGACGGGGACGTTCTCCCCTCCCATCCTCCCCCCGAGCGAGGGCTGAGCAGAAGCCCTCCTCGTTCTCGTCCGCGGCGGCAGAAGGGACCCGCACGTCCCCGACCCTCGGGCTGGCCGCCACGGGGTGCAGCGGGCAGCGGGACAACGCCGGTGGCCCCGCGGTGATGCCCTGCGGGGAAGCGGACATCTCCCTCACCAGGTAGGAGGGGAAAGGTCTCCGTGTCGCTGTCACCCCCACCCAAGGGACGGCACCACGGGGCTCGTGCCAAGGGCCGAGGGGCCGCCGGCCACGTGTCCCCCCTAGATGCAGCATCTCCTGGGGGCGCTGGGTGGCTGCGCGGGACAAGAGCCATTCCCGCACCCGGGGGCTGTGTCGGGGTTCTAGCGGGGACAGGATCTCACGATCGGGAGATGGGGATGGGAGTGAGGTCCCAGAGCGGAGGGGCGATGATGCCAGATTGCCCTTCCCCCCCCCCGCCAGACAACCGGGCCCCCAACACCGGAGCGGGCGGTGCCGGGGCGGGGCGCGGACCGGGGGTACCGCTGCGGGGGGAGCGGCCTGGGGCACGGTACCGCCCCCGCCGCCGCCGCCGCCCCACGCATGCTCCGCCACCGCCACCGCGCCGGAGCGGAGCGGAGCGGGACGGGACCGCGCCGGAGCCGCCGCCGCCGCCGCCGCAGGTAACCGCGGCCCCGGGGCGCGCACGTGGCGGGGCTCTCCCGCTCCTTCGCGGAGCCCCCGGGGCGGTATCACCGGGACGGGAGCGGCCGCCGCCTCCCATCCTTCGGGGCTGCGGCGAGGGCGGCTTTGTTCGCGGCTCGGCCGGGGCGTGCCCACGCGTGTCCACGAATGCGTGTGTGCCCGGAGCCATGTGCCGGCGGCTGCGTGCCCGTGCCTGCAGGCGGGAGTGCGTGTGTGCGTGTGCCTGCGGGTGGGTACCGCGTGTTCGTGTCTCTCCGCGTGCCCCGGGCGGGATGCTCTCAGGGTGGGTTCGGCCCCGCCGGGAGGTGTTACGGGTGGGACTGGGAAGCTCCGTAGGGAGAAAGGCTCGGAGGGCTCGGAATCATTTCGAGCCACTTGTGCGACACCGGCTTCTGCCCCTCGTGCCACGTGGCCTCGTGCGGGTGTGGGTGCGGGTATCTGTGCAGGGCAAGTGTGCACGGTGCCCAGCTGGCACACCCTACCCCGCCTGGCAGAGCCCCCAGTGTCCTGTGCAGCCCCTGGCCCTTCTGCTTGCTGCTGTCTGCAGGCCAGTGGATGCCCTGGACTGGGTACCTGTGTGCAGGGCTCTGATGGGAGCTGTTCTGAGTATCCGTGCGGTTCTTACTGGGCACTACAGGTTGCCCTCCACCTGTTCTCTCTTCAGGGTCTCACAGCCCCGTGGCCCCAGCAGCCAGAGCAGCCCCTGAATCCCACACGTGGCTCAGTCGCACCAGGGAACGGCTGTTTTTGTGGTAGGTGGCTGACACTGTCCTTCCCTTCCCGGGTTGGGCACTGTGCTGGCGCATTCTGGGCACAGCCAGACCTGTTGTCAGGTGTGGTGTGGCAAGAAGCAGTTGATGACTGACAATGTTCAGCTCACTGCCATATTGCCTGTCTTGCAGGACTAGCATGGGAGAAGCCTTCGCCAGGCATGGGCAGCACTAGGGAGCCCGAGGCCCTGCAGCTGCTGAACCAAGAGGCTGAGGACGCCTGTGAGCCCGGTACCAGCTCCTTGGGCTGCCCACCAGTGGGTGAGCACTTGCCCAGCTCTGGCTGCAACGCGGATGGCCTTGCCATGAGGACCTGCTGCGTGGCCGAGCCCCAGGTCCTGGGCACTGTGGAGAAGGTGCCGGTGCCAACAGGACTGGGGAGCTGCGGGGCAGCCGGTGGCACTGCCCCTGCCTGCAGTCCTATGGAGCCAGGGGGCACCCAGAAGGAGAAGGCCACCCCTGCGCCCTCCCTGCCTGAGCCCTGCCTCAAGGCACCCAGCAAGGACACGGGCAGCGTGCCGGCTCCAGCCAAGCATGTGGCATTCCTGGAGCCATCGGTGGGAGCTGAGCTGCCCTCCCCGATGCCAAGCCAGGAGCAGCCCCAGGGTGGCACAGGGGACACTGAAACCCCCGAGCAGCTCCAGAGAGTTGGGGAGCAGGGCAGAGCTGATAGGAGTACTGAGAGCACCCAGCAGCCCCGGACTGCCAAGCTGCTCTGCGGGTCCTACTCATTCGAGGTGACACCCCCGCAGGACGCCGGCGTGCAGGACACAGGGACACAAGTGGACAGCCGTGCATCCCTGGTGTCGGTGGCACTGAGCCCTATGAGCCCCCCGGGTGGAGCTGCTGCCTTCACCTTCCCCAAGAGAGAGCTGGGCTCTGCCCCATGCCTGCAGCCCTCCAAGAAGGACGCGGAGATGCAGGTATCCATGCCTGTGGAGACGCGCTCAGTGGCCACCGGGCCCATGACGCCAGTGGCCAAGTCCCCACAGGCCTCGTACCCCGAGGTGCACGTGAAAGGGGTGGCGGAGGAGGCTCCAGAGCCCATCCGGGAGGTGAGCTGGGACGAGAAGGGGATGACGTGGGAGGTGTATGGGGCCTCCATGGAGGTGGAGGTGCTGGGCATGGCCATCCAGAAGCACCTGGAGAAGCAGATCGAGGAGCATGGGAGGCAGGCGGTGGCCACCCCACAGAGCACCCGCGCCAGCTCCGTCAAAGGGGCTCCCCGCAAAGGCGAGCCCAAGAGGCAGCCCAGCGTCTTTCGGGCTCTGCTGCAAAACGTCCGGCGGCCACGGTGCTGCTCTCGTGCCGGCCCTGCCATGGAGTGAGCTACTGCCCAGCCGTGGGACAGAGGGGACATGGGGAAGTGTCCCTGCCCTGCGTCCCGAGATGCCCGCTGCCGGCGTGCAGCGCTCCAGGCAGGTGGTGATGGAGTGCTGCAGGTGGGGATGGGGCATCTCATCTGCTGGGGTCCCCCCCAGCCCTGGGACACGAGTTGGATGCCATCGCCCTGTGCGTGGGGTGGGGGCCTGACCGTGGCTTAGAGTTGGGTTCGTGGCAGCAGCAGTGACAACAGCCCCTGGCTGCCCACCACACTCCTGTTCTTGCTATATCAGCATCATGTCCCACTGCTGTGCCCAGCAGAAGGGTTGTGGGGCTGGAGCACGTCTGCTCGGGGCCATCAGCTGCTTGTCCCCATCACTGCAGCTGGAGGCATTTGGGGAGGTTGTCCCCATGGTCCCCAGCCCTCCCTGACTGCATTCGAAGCACGGGAAATGTCCTTGTCCTGGTGGTGGGGAAGGAGCCGCACCACCTCCCAGCCACGCTGCTGTGAGCAGCATCCAGAGCCCCCAGGCTGTCCCTTTGTGGGTCCCCCAGCCTTGCTCGCTGCTCCCCCTGGGGCCGCGCCAGCTGCAAAGTGCTGCCACTTTTTACCGCTGAGATTTTGCAGGGGTGGGAGGGAGGGGGGGCTTTTCTTGAACTGTGTTTGCATTTTTGGAGCTTTTTAAGAGACACTTTCAGCCGTCAGCCACCTCCCCCCCCAGCAGCCTGCAGGGCTGCAGCTCTTTCAAAACACTGTCCCTATATCCCTGCCTTGCTGGGCAGCACCAAGAGCAAAGTCGATGTGCTGGGGGGTGAGCCCCCCTCTGCCAGCAGTACCTCGGTGTCAGTGCCAAACTGTCAGACCCCACATCTCGCCTCCCGCTCCCCCCCCCCACCAGTCTGACTCAGTGCACAGGAGTGGCCCCACAGAGCTCCCCAGAGCTGCAGGAGGCTGCAAAAATTGGGGCGCTGGGGATCCCCTGGCCTGCCAGTCCACTCCAGCGCTCTGGCTTCATCCCTGACTTTCTTGTTTTCCTCTTTGTTTTTTTGGGAGTGGGGGGAGGAAGGGGGTGGGAGAACTACATTTGTCAGTTTGGGTGTTGGGTAATAAAACATTACAGAAAGCTCTGTGCAGTGCTGCAAGCAGCTCTTGGTGGGGATTTGAGGGGTGGCACAGAGCCCTGTGGTGACACCGAGCCCCTCCAGCCTGACCTCAATCCATCCCTTTCTTCCGGGAGAGGGAACCCCCTGTGGCCAGCACCGAGGGGCTGGTGGCCATGGGACACTGTCATCACATGAGATGGGTTTATTGCTGGGGTTGAACACGACATTGCCAGAGCAGCTGCCTGAGTCCCGCTCCGGCCCCTCTGTGCTGCACATGCTGCTCACAGGTCGGTGGTGTTGAAGGCAGTGTTGATGTAGGCCATTTTGGAGGGCTCCTCCATGTTCAGGGCGGCCGCCAGCACCTTGTCCTCAGTGGAGTCTGTGGGATGTGGGTTCCCTCTCTGGGAGAGAGCACAGTCATAAGGGTGGGGACAGGGATACCCCATCCATCCCCAGAACAGGGATGGGGAGAAAGGGATGCGAGGGTCCAGCAGTCCTTGCGCCGCAGCAGAATGGGGCTGGGCGGAGGTGAGCAGGATGCCCTGCCTCCTACCTTGGCCTTGAAGTTGTCCTCCTTGGGTGAGTCCACCATGTTTTCGTCCAGGGAATTGATGCTGCAGAAAGGGGAGGGTTTAAGAGGTGGTGGCAAGGCACAGGCAAGGCCAGTGGCCTTTGGAGCTGCCTGTAGAGCTCACCTGGCCAGCGAGCTGGTTTCTTCATGGAAGCCCAGGTCATGGGATGGGTCCAGTGAGAGATTCAGCATGGGGTTGGCCCTGGCCAAGGGTGGGAGGCAGTGAGTGACGGACCCTATGGGTCAGCCGTGTGGGAGCAACATGGCACAGGGAGCCCATGCTCACCTCTCAGCATTGTACTTGTTGGTGCCAGGGATGCCCTCTCCCTGCACCACGGCTGGGCTCAGTGTTGTGGCTGTCTTGAGAGCCTTCATCGCACTCAGCTTCCTCTTGTAGCTGTGGGGATGGTGATGGTGAGTGGGGATGTGGGGATAAGGGGTATGTGGGGGCACGGGGTGGGTGCATGGTACCTCCTGGTGGTCAGCACCAAGGCCAGGATCATGATGAGGATGAAGAGGACTAGGAACGCTGCCAGCCCCGCGATGATGCCGATCATCTCCTTCTCCTTGCTGCTCTCTGTCACCTCACCGGGGCCCTAGCACACAGTGGGGCTGTGGGCAATGTGTAGGCACAAAGACCCCCAAGGAACCACGTGGGGCTGGTGCCTTGTCCCTGCATGCCTTGCCCACCCCCACTCACGATGACGACCAGGCCCAGGTTCATCAGGTTGGCCAGGGCCGTTGGGTTGCTATTGATGAACCTGCCGAAGGAAGAGAAGCAGGATGAGTAACGGGGTGGGCAGCAGTGCTGGCACACAGCTCCCTCACCAGTACACACAGGGTCAGCTGGTTGACGTCCAGTGCTGTGCCATTGCTGTAGACGAAGTACGCCTCTATCACCGACTTGGCTTTCACCCTGCGGGGACAGGAGGGGGGGTGAGCGGGCCGTGGGGCATGGTGCCCTCCCCATGGCCGATGCCATCACTCACGCAGTGGTACGGCTGTCTTCATAGGTCCGGATGGCTGACACGTAGACCCCTGCCTTAGTGGCGCTGGTCAGGGCTCTGCAATGGGGTTATGGGTGAGTGTGTATATGGGGAGCAGCAGGACCTGCAGCCCCAGCCCCTGCCAGGCCCCCATACATTCTGATGCTTTCCAAATTGCTCTGCACTTCATCCAATGTTGTCGTAAATTGGAGGTGAATGCGATAGCTCTGGTCCACTGTGAAGATCTGTGTGGGGACAGCAAAGTGAGAGGGGCTCAAGAGGGCATGGGGCATCCCAAGGGGATGGGGTGACACTCACATTGAGGGTAGTCTGTGTCGCATGCTGCGGTGCTGCACTGTCCCGAGCCTCCACTGTCACCTGGTACTGCCCCTTCAGTGAACTGTCCAGGTTGCTGGCCACCCTAAGTGGATGGGGACATCCCATATGGCTGGGTCTTCCAAGAACCCCATCCTCCCAGCACGCTCAGGCCCCTTTGATGGGGACCAAGTTGCTGGGGATGTCCTCCCTCCATCCCTTGCCTGTGCCCCTGCCACGCGGCAGAAGAGCTGAGCTGGGCTCAGCCCACACCACGCAACCCCCAGCTCAGCCTGGCCCCATGGCATTACTGAATGCTCCCGGTGTAGTTGTCCTGGTCAGCTGAGGTCACCACCTTGAAGAGGTTATCAAAGGGCCGCTTGACCCCATCTTCCTGCACAAGCACCACACTGATGATGGAGAAAACGATGGTTCCTCCCAGCCCCGAGTCGGCATCTGTGGCCTGCGGGGACCAAGTATGTCAGCAGCACAGCTGGGCACGGATGGGCAAGCCCAGCACCCAGAAGTGTGCACTGCTCCTCACCTTCACAGTAGCCACTGGCAGGTCCACAGGAGAGATTTCAGGGACAATGACTGTGGGGACAGACAGTACAGTTGGGGTGCTTTGCAGCTAAGTATGCTGCAGACCCCATGCCCTGCATGCACCATGGCTCAGTAGCACAGGTGCAGCCCTAAGCACTTCATGCTGCTCTTTGTGGGGAGCAGCGGGTTGTCCCAGCTTGGACACCGTGCTGCTCACAGCCCTCTGCTTCCTGGGCAGCTGGGCAGAGCCACACAGCAAAGAGCACATCATGAATGCTGTATCCTAAGCTCTTCTACTCACCAAAGGTCCCGGAGACAGGAAAGAAGATCGGTGCATTGTCGTTAATGTCTGTGATCCAGATCTCCAGGGTTTCTGTCAAAGCCACAAACACAGAGAACTGCTCAGTCCTGCTCTGTGTCCTCTGGGAGCCACATTCCCCCAGAAGGCCCAGATCCCTGTGGCAGAGACCAAAGAACTGGGGACACCTTCCTGCCAACCCAAAGGGACCAAAGAGCTGGGGACAGCCTCCATCTATCCCAAAGAGGCGCTCCTCTGGGGAAGCAGCAGCTCCAGGTCCCATCTCCCTCCCTGCCCTGCTCATGGTGGACACAGGATGTGGGCTCTGCCTGTACCGTTCTTGCTGTAGCGGTCGCCTTTCTCGGTGTAGAGGTCTTCAACCCGCACGGTCAGCTGGACCTCATCACACAGCTCATAGTCAATGTCCAAGCTGTCGGCCAGCAGCGAGCCATTGGGCAGCAGCACAAACCAGTCCCAGCACACCTCCCCAGCACTGCTGCCACCCTTATAGCAGGCAACCGACAGCTCCTCGAAGACCAGCGAGTGGTTGGTGTCTGGGTCAAAGGCAACCACGGTGAGGACCAGACCCAGCTGCGTGCCGTTCTCGCTCACGCTCACACTCTTCTGCGAGGACGACGGGATGGTGGGCGGCTCATCATTGACATCGAGGACGTTGACCAGCACCGAGACGTTGGCGATGTTCCCTGCACTGTTTGCAGCCGTGTTCTCTGCCAGCACCACCAAGGAGAAGAACTTATCCTGCATGGTGTCATAGTCCACAGTTACGTCAGGGTCGAGGGAGAGCCGCCCGCTGTAGTTGCCCAGCCCCAGGCGGGTCGAGCTGATCAAGAAGTTGCTGGAGCCGGTGTTCCTCTCCAGCTGGAAGGAGATGCGGGAGTTGATCTCCGTCCGGTCAGCGTCCGTGGCCATGACGTTCCCCACAAAGGACCCTGCAGGTGAGGCAGACACTCGGTGTCCGTTTGTCTGACCCCAGGCACTGTTTGTCCCACAGCCTGACCACCCTCCTCATACCATCAGAGCTTTCAAAGACGGAGAACTCATAGGACTGTTGGAGGAACATGGGCATGTTGTCATTCACATCCTGCAGGAGATGATAGCCCGTGAGTGTCACCATGCTAGAGGTCTGGCATGGAGCAAGGGACAGGAGCACGGACAGCTGCTCCCTGCTCCAAGTGTGGCACATGGGGACACAGTGCCACCTCTACATCCGGTCTGACTGTGCCCAGTGCTCACCGCCACGGTGATGGTGACGTTCACCATCGTGCTGAGCTGTGGCACCCCGTGGTCGTACACCTCCACTGTCACCACCAGCTGCCCCTCCTCACTGTCCACAGCCTCGCGGTCCAGCGGCTCAATGCTGTGCATCTCTCCAGTGGTCTGGTTGATGGTGAAGTTGTTGCTGTACAGCCCTGGCACAATTTTGAAGCCCAGCTCACTGTTGGGAGTGCCTTCCTCATCATTGTCAATGGCCTGGAAAGAGAACACCAGGGAAAAGGAATGGAGTTGTTTGGAGCCCAGGACAAAACCTGACTCCTCTGCTTGTGGTGCCCACCCTGATCTGTGTGCTGACGTTCTGCCCCTCTTCCACATAGATGAAGTAGGAGCCGATGATGATGGGCTCGTTGTCATTCTCATCCAGCACGGTGATCTCCAGCATCGTGGTGCTCGTCTTGTTACCCCCGTCCTTGGCTTGCAGGTTGGTGGAGTACATAGAGCGCATCTCCCGGTCCAGGAAAGACCCATTCCTCACCAGCACTGCCCCGCTCGT